AATAGGTGACCTAGTCCAGACTAAAAGTCACCCAAAACAAAACAGAAACACGTATTTTGGGAGTTTTCTCACATTCAGCTATAAATGAGCTGACTCTTTTTAAATTTTGATTATTTAAGCATAAAATCACAGTTGCATACAATCCTGCAATACACTTTTCAACATCTCTTGAGATCATCTGTGTGGAGGACAGAATAAAAAGTGATTTAATGACTTTAAAAAAATATATATTTGATGTTTGCTTGTTTGTTTTACAATTCCAAGAGTGAAGAAACCTAATGACAGACACTGCTCATTCATCTGGACCTACAGTAGTGGACCTAAAAAGCAGATGTATAGAAATAACATTATAAATGCATAATATATCAACTTACAGAAGTTCAGAAACTTTTGTGACCAAAGATGACTTCTTATAAATACTTCCAAAGGAATTACTCATTTTGCATTTAATTAAGTTGAGTATGTGTGGGAAAACAATGGAACATAAAACTGTCATCGCACTTTTCTATCCTGCTGTTCTGAATTAAGTCTTCAGGAAAAGAAGAGATTACAAGATGCAGTAATTTTTGCCCTGAATTAGCTTTCAAGGCTTTTCACACAGGACTGAAAGGCTTTTCCATGATATCTAGTAGAGTACGGTTTGTACTAAGAACTGAAGTACCATGCTTTCACATTTCCTATCATATTTCATACCTTATCATAGTCCTAACAACTACAATGTTCCCTATATTTAGATAACGTGAGTGGAAAGGAAGTGGGGTGGGAGAGTCAGTTCAATTTCAACAAAAACAGAATACCTTGAAGAAAAGTTTTATGAAATCTGAAGAAAATCTTGAGGAATGCAGTTATTCTGCTAACTGAACAGGTATAGAAAGCATTACTGGATATTTTACCTCAGATACTTAAAAACTGGTACTCTAAAATTTAGTCACTTGAGATTCAGAGGCTGCTATTTTAACTGCTAGTTTACATTCTTACAAGTAATTGCATTCAGAAAGTGATTGTTGCTTATTTTTTTTTAATCAAAGGAGAGTGATTCTGCAGTTTAACTATGAAGCTTGTTATTTGACTCAAACTCATTTGGTCTTTTTTTTTTCCCTTCCATTCCTGGTTACTCCCTTCAAAATGAGGCAGATGTCTGTTTTCCTTTACAAGGCAGATAATTTCAGCAGAGAGTTTGCTTTAGTCATAATCTGCAAAGTGTTTCAGATCCTTAGAGATTTCTTACCACTGCTATAAAGTGTGAGTGAATTATCTGATTTTACAGTTAATTGTTCTCATTAAACTATCTCTTCCTTTCTTTATCTCCTAGGGAAAACCAACAAAGGAGGAGTAATATTTGGTGTCGCAGTAGGAGCCATTTTGGGATGTATATTAATTGGTCTGATTGGATATTGTATATGTGGTAAGAAAAGATCTGAATCATTTTCCCACAGACGGTTTTATGATGATACAGGAAATGACCCAGGTAAGAAATAGCACAAGAGTTTTGCCGAAGAACATTTAAATTTCTGTACGGAGTCATTTAAATGATTTGGTCTTAATGAATTATTAAGCTTTGTATAATCGACTCCAGTCAAACGTTTTTTTAACTGACAATACTTTTTTTTTTTTTAAATTAAAACAAACATCTCTCCCCTTAATCTCTGCCACCCTCTTCCTTCCCAATAACTCCTTGTAAATTACTTTAACAAAAAGAAAGTAAGTGCTTTCTCTCATTCCAAACAACTCTAAACACAATACTAAACCTAACCCTAATTAGGACCCTAAAAAACACATACACGTCACCAGATTCGCCCATCAAAAAGTGCTCCCAATGGAAGCCTTTGGGTGGACCTGAACTCCCTTTGGGAGCCTTTACGCAACCCCACACACAACACAACTCTGTGCTTTCTTCTGTTTCCAAGCAGCCCTATACATAATACTAAACCTAACCCTAATTAGGAGCAGAAAGTCAGATTAGGAACTAGCTTTTCAAGTCGACCACCCATGTAGTGCTCAGTGGTTGTTCCTGGGAAGACATTTTATCCTCATATTTCGTGTCAGGGCCTTCACCTTCTCCTTACTCAGACCATAATATGTAGTAAAGAAGTTAACTGGATTTAGCTGTGATAGACTGATGAACTGAACCGTGATGGGCATAAGAATCTTTCAAGCAATATATAAATCATAATCACATTATGCTTACAGTTCTCCACTTAGACAACTCGCTTGGACCATATGATACAGGCTTTGGAAGTTCACCTGGGGACCAAACCAGCACAGCAGACAAAGCAGAGGGAGACAACGCAGGGTGCCCAGCTGATGACATTCCTATGGCTGACATGACACCATCCCATCCTGAACCATAATGTTTGCTTTGGGTTATATTCCCAGTTGTTACCATGAGATACATTGACACGTAATAGGCAGGCAGCACTCTTCTGCTTTGTAATTAGATGACCGACAAAGTTTTCCTGGGAAGATTTTAGACTTGCTTTCTCAGGAATAACACAGGGAAATAGCACACAGGTAAAATTCTCCCTTGTGTAACGTTAGCCAAATATGCAGGCACTACAACAGAACAAAATTCAACTAGGATTGCAATGATATTTTAGCATCAATACAACCTGCTTCCTTCTCTCCCCACTCCTCCAGTTTAACTGCTTGAAGGTGAAAGTATTCCAAATATCACTCCAATCTGATTAATGACTCAGGGCATTTTTTTTCCCCCACTTTATGTTGGTACTTCTCTCAGAGAATAGACAAAAAGAATTAGTTTTATTGGCATTTGTCAGAGGCTGAAGTTTGCTGGGGAGAATGGAAATGGAATTACCAAGTAACATGGACTAAATTTCACCTCTGACTATGACAATGCAGTTAGAAACACTATTGAAGGGAAGAATGAAAGACAACTTCTATTCATTTGTAAAACTGATCTGTTGTTTGCATTGCAGGCTAGATCTGTAGAAACGATGCATGAAGTTTTATAAGGGTTAGACAAGAAATAATTATCTCAACATGAAAGAAAAGAAATTATGTCTGACATGCATATTGGTATTCTAAAAAAACATGCTGTTTTTGTCCAGCTAACAAGTAAAATTATGGCAATAAAATGCAAACAATTGCAAGGCTTGTTTATCCGTTTGCAATTTCCAGAAATGTCTACATAGAAAGAAAGAACGTGAAAAAGACATAACTGTAAAGACAATGACATAACAAAAGACATAGCATAAACAGTACTAATTGCAGATTAAAAAAAAAACTACTCATGTGGAATACATACTGGGTAACATATATCTTAAAATGTTTGAATTATTCAGGAGGCTGTGGGTAATGTTGATGGAGTGATTTCACTAACTCACTGGGAACGTTGCAATGTGCGTTCATGTGATTTGTGAGTACATTACATGCATGCACACACCAGACAGAGAAAAAATGGCAGTCACACAGCAGATGAATGAAAACACATATTTGTTTCAAATTATTTCAAAGATTACAGAATTGAGTGTCTAAGTGCAGTGCTGCCATTCCTACAGTGGTCAGTCATGAAAACTGCATGTTTCCTATCTAAATCAGAACCTGATTTCTAACATTGTTTCCAGCGTGCTGGTTACAGACTGAAAAATTGAGACACAGGCACCTGCTCGATATGACCAAAACCATACTGCTCAGCTTTTGTTTTCATTAGCACATATTATGCCATCTTTCCTGATAACCATAAGCAGCATCACATGTGAAAATTCCTCATGCTCCTGGCCTCAGCTTAAAATGAGGAGTTCTCTCTTTGGAGAACTCAAAGATAGAGACAAGGAGATGCTAAGAAGCTACCAGTGTTCTCTACATTATAATGAACCTTAACACCTATAGTGCAATGTATTTTAGGAGTTTATGAAACAAATTATTAGTAATTGCAAGGCTTAGTAATTATTATTACAATTAGTAATTGTTAATAATTAGTAATTATTATTATAATTACTTATCAGTAATTGCACAGCAGTATCAGGAGCCAATGAAGAAATATCATCAAGACAAGCAACTGAAGCGTGCCCTTCAGTTAGTGCGTTGATTTTCAACAATCAAATTATGATTTTTTGTTTGAATGTGTATGCTTATCTTGTGCTGTGCTTTGATGTTTTGCTACTGCTTGTATACTGGTTTTAATTTTTACCAGGCCAGCCTCTAAAATTTGTAAATGTTCATCCTTTGTTGTAAGTTAGAATCATTAATCCTTACTTGTACATGCTATGTAAATAAAGATGTTTTGTGCCATTTGACTATTTAAAACTGTAAAACACTGGCCTCAATTCAGACAGCTGTATTTATATGATCTGGTGTTTTTATCTCAGGGTTTGCACAGACAAATGTTTATACTGGTAAAAATTAATCATGTCCTACTTTTAATACCAGTCTTTCCTACTTTTCAACAGCAAAGTATTATATTCATTGAAAGCTAATTCCTCTAAGTATTTCATGCCGGAACCATCACATCTGTCCTGGCACCCTACTTCACGCCCCATGACATGGCATGTGATGTTAGAATGAACATATTGAATAGATATTTAGACAGAGATTTTGAATATAAGTAGTTAAACTGCTGTAAACATTTATCATCAAATCTTCCCTTCATTTCCCTCTAATTAGCTCCTACAATGCATTCCCATTTATTCTACAACAATTCTCTATAGACTCTGATTTTTGTACTGACTCCAGACTAGTAAATTACCCTATATGTTTGCTGCTGTAAAAGACTTCTAACATGCACGGTATAAAATTTGAGCTTAAAGATATTTAAGATACTAAGGACAGTCATTACATTAACAACAAAAGGTATAAAAGGTATTACTTTCACGTACTGTTGAGTACAGAGAAATTGAAGTTGATGAAAAGAGGAAAAAATGTTTGTGTGACAAAATCATTCTTTAAGTTTTATTATGAACTATAGTCTCCTTTAACTCAGCAATCCCCAAAAGGGTCAGTTTGATTAAAAAAAAAAAAAGAATAAATCAAAAATTACTTACCCCAGATTGCCATGAAAATAGCAAAGAAGACAGTCCCTCCATTATCAAACAAATGTGTAACCTGAATAGAAAACAAATACATCAGGAACAAGCAATATTGCTACCTTAACTTCTGCCCCAAAGAAGCCCAGAGTACATAACTTAAAAGCCAAACATTACAGCAAGAAGGCCTACTCACACATTTCTTCTACCAATGTTTGGCCCATTCCTTCACTGTTGTTTTACAGCCTATCACTTCAAGCCTCTCCAGGGCACTTGCTTCAGAGACAGTAAGAGCTGCTCTCTGTCCAGACAGGCTAAAAGTTACTCCAGAATTCTCCTTGTATCCTGGGTCAAATTTCCATTTGATGTTTTCTATTTTAAGATTTTCATAAGCTTAAATCACTTCAGACTTTTCACTTTTCTTCTTCTACATGTTACTTAATGTCCCTTTTGATTTCATTTTCTACTGCTTCTAAGCTATCCTGCAATTTCCGTGCAGGTAAGAATAATATATATTTATCTTCATCCAGAAATCTCAGCCTCTAAAATTGTTAGCGTATTCTCCTTCTTAAAAGGCTAGAGTCCCTCAACTCCCACAAATATAAAATAAATTCTAAAACACTGTTGGAGAAATGCAAATCTAAATTGCGCACAAGTTCACTTCCTGAATGTTTTCCTTTTGTTGGATTTATCTTTTATCTCACTCTTCCTTATAAGCTTATCTGCTGTAAAATCCAAGATTTACCAGTAGAAAATAAGAAGTAGTTTCTGTTAGCCTAGGGAACACACTAAGCATCTGAATGAGTGAATGTGATGTCTCCTTATGCAAACATCAGAATTTATATTACAAAAATCCTGAGCTTCTTATATTCAAGTCATAAGAAGAAACAGTAGCTAAGAAGCTGAAATTAAGATCAATGCACTTTCAACAAATTTAAGGTTGCCAGTGGACAGCAATGTAATTTATACATGGACAGCAGGCCTGAATTTCTTCTAATGAAAGTTGGTTTAAGATGCTGCTGAGCATCAGTCAACAAAGCATAGGTTTCACATTCTTATATGAGTAAGAGGAAAAAAACAAAAAGGCAAAACTTAAGAAACAACCAAAGCACAAACCATTGTGAGATAATAGAGCAAACCACTTTGTCAAAAGACATATGTTAGAAAGATGATCACCTGAAGATAAAAATAAATAATTATAAAAAAGTGCAGCAAATTGCTTTGAAATGTATTGTCCTATACCATTGAAAAAGTTTATGGCTATTTCCTGCTCTCTGAACTCAGAATAGAACATCATATTCTTGAGAAGAATTTACTTTCACTGGTGTCGACTCCGATGAAAACTGTAGGACCAATCATCATTTTCTCATGAAAAAGGAACCCTTTCTTATGCCACTGGAACTGGGCAGGTAACCAGACGGAGCTGGGCTGTACCACGACCTTCTCTCCTATCTGAGGTTACTCTGGCCAGCAGGAACATCCTGTAAGCGAGGTGTTTGGGGATGCAGCAGCTGGCAGCCCGCCTCCAGCAGATTACCTAACGGGCTCCAGCAAGGGCTGCCCTTGCCCATGCGGATGGATTTTCATTCTTTCAGAGAAAGTTGGCTTCGTTGGGTGAGCAAAATTACTTGGTAGAGAAAACTTAAGCAAGCAAAAAAAAAAAAAAAAGTTAATAGAAACAGTACTGCTTTTGTCTCTATCTTATTTCTTATTGAGTAAATTAACTCTCATATTGTGAGAATTTACTGAAAATACCACATAGATTTAACCAGTATGTCAGTTTTCTGTTTTGTTTACTTTTTTAAGCTTCTGAAGAAATGGGAATTTACTATCTGGTATTAGGTATCCATAAATCCAACATGGTCCCAGTACGAATCCTATAGTGGGATCACTTGTACATAGAAATACGTCCAAATATGGTTCCATTAAGGAAAATACAACCATAATGGGTATGGTGCCAAAAATGTGACAGGTGAATAAATGCAGTAGAGTACACCTCATGAATACTTTCAGTTTTGAATATACATGTGCGTGAGCAAGTGATTTTGGATATTCTGCTCAGTAGAGTGCATCTTTCCAAGGAAATAAACCAACCAAACAAACCCAACCCCACCCAGCCCAGCATTTTAGCATTGTTAAAAGTAGAAAATATGTATCTTGCTCTTGACATAGCTCTGTCTTGAGGGAAGGTGTTTGGAATATACTATTCAGTACCGCTCTCAGAATTAAGATTCGACTGTCTTACAGGCTAACTATGCAGTTGGAGTAAGTGTCGACCAGAGCCCTCCAAGCAGAAGTGAAATACCCCACAACTCAGTGCCAGTCAGTCAGCACACCTGACTGATATTGTCACCATCACACATGACTTTACACGTTCCAAGTCCACCCAGATTTAATACCCTGACACTGGGCCCTAGGACAAGGTGTGCTAGGAGCAGTACCAGCCAAAGACCCATTATGCATTGTGCTAGTCACCTCTGCTCATCAAATAATCCACCTAACGTGGGCAAGAATGACAGTTACGGCATTCAGCAATGCAGATTACAACTCAGACGCAGCATTCCCTTCCCTTAAATTAATAACTTCATTTTTAATGGGGTATTTTTAAATGGACATGAAGAAAGAAGGGAGGGGATGAAATAAACGGGCAGAAGCAAGAAGGAAAAATGCACCTTTTGTATTTTGTCTGCCAGCCTTGCAAGAAACTTGGATGAAAAAAAACATTTCAAGTATATGATTTGTTCTGCATTACTTTGTTTTATCCAAAATACTTCTCTAAAGGGAAATTTGGGAAATATTGGGAAAGAAAGGCAAATTTAATGCAGGAAATCCTGACAGCAGTTCTAGTAACATGAAATATGAACCCAAGTCCTTGTCTAAATGGGACAGGTCTCATGACATAAGCAGGTTTGGGGAGATCAAAGTGACTTCAATCAAAGTGAAGTCACTTTTCCTAATAAACTCAGTGTTAGCATACTTATACACAATGGGTTATTTCAAAGAAATGAAAAAAGATCAGAACACATCCTGGAATATGAATGCCTTTCCCTGGAATGAAACAGGAAAAGCTTCTTGCAAACAGTCCTTGGTTTGTGTGTGGGGAAGATGAAGAAATAAGTCATGTTCCTACAGCAACAAAACCAGAAGGAAAGCCAGATAAGTTCCACTTCAGGTACAGGAAAGAAAGGAGGAAGTGCCATTTCCATTTCTCAGCAGATTGGATGCCTTATTTTCAAATAGGTTACTTCTATTTATATTATTAATGATGCTTCAGAAAGTACAAAGGAGTATTTGAAATCAGACTGTAGTTCTCTAGCTTTACAGATTGCTTTCATTCACTACTTTCTGTGCAGGCACAGAGGAATTGCTGACATACGTTTGGGTATTTGCTGCTCCACTCAAACAACACAGCAGCATCCAGCAGGATCACAAGCCCTTCTGGAAACCTGACATTTCCTAGCGAGAGAAACGAGTGAAGCTGCAGTGTAATTTTCTTTAGAGACAACATGGTGAGTGAAGGCATTACAGTTACATCCTCAGTTATAAAAAGCTCATTTTTTCGCCATTGAAAAGGCCAGATGGTAATCATATTCCTTCCCAAAGAGAAGTCTCTCTCTACCCCTTGAGAATCAGTTTTTTGAAGTACGCATTACCTGTGTATGCAGAAAACATACATAACATGATTAGAACCAATTGGGGGAGATCCAGAAGAGGCAAATCCTAGTAGAAGAAAAATTTTGTTTGTTTTCTGTGTACCAATCTAAGGCTGGCCAGTTTTTCAGAGCAAAACCATTGGCAGGAAAATTTGGGAGCCTATGTTATTTTCCCCAGGTTTTGTGGACGTTGGGAAAGAGTGCTCGTGAAGATGGAATATGAGCGCTTACTACTCATCTTCCCCAGATATCATCTGATTTTGTTTCAAGACAACTGGTTTAAAAGTGTGCAGAAGTACAGATGAAATGCCACATTTTTTCTGCTGCATTTAACTACTTACAATGTGATATTAAAATGCAGGACTTAAGCACAAGATGTAAGTGTAAATATATATGAGAGACAAAATTTGCTTTTATTAACTGGGATTGTTAAAATAATAGGACCTAAAATTAAAGGGTCCTGCAATACTAAATGTACTAATTTTATGTCAACGAGTGGACTACTGAATAAGTTACTTGTCATATTCTAAAAAGGGACATTTCTCAGATGGGATGTAAGATTTGCATAATGTTATTTCAATTGAGAAAGCTTTTACCTTCGGTACACATTGTAAAAACTTATGAAATGAGTTCAAAAAGCTAGGAAAAAAATTAATGCCGCCATATTTTGTCATAAAGTTACAGGAGTATTTAAAAATGGAACACAAGTTGGCCTTAAATATATTGTATTTATATAATATATAACAGTATAACATAAATGAAAAACAACTTGTCCATTTTTTAAATTTTGCATTAAAAAATAGAAAGCTAAATTAAAAAAATACAAATATTTTTTTTTCCAAGATCATATGTTTTTCAAATATTGCTTCACACATACTTTTGAAATGTTGAGTTTCACTCCAAGTCCTGTCTAAATACCAAATATAAAAATTTAATGAAAATTGATTTTTCTCTTCCACTTTGCTTAGTCTTGTTGCATTGCCACAACCTAGAGACAATCACCGCTCCACAAATAGAAACTTCTGAATAAGATTTGTCTTATGGGCTAAAGAATTACAAGAAAAATGGCAAGGCTGCTCTTCGTGTTATGAACATTAGCACACAACAAAATATATATTACTCACTTGTTAACACTGCACATACACTGAAGTGCTTATGATTAGTTAAGCTTGCAGGACAGCTTATTGTAGAAAAATATTTTATTGTGTAAACTCTTTGCATTATTTTGAAAAAGAAAAGCACACCATAGACACATTGAAATCCTAGGTGATGCTGGAGAATTCCTTTAGCAGGAGCAGAATTTCAATTAACAAACAACCAAGGAAAACAAAGCAAGAAGTTAATTTTAAGGGAAAGTAGGATAAAACTTCCAAGAAAAGTTTTGTTGCTCAGGGGACTTTATAAATTGATCGAAATATTAAGGATTCTGTAAGGAAATGTTTTAAAAAAGTAAAACAAGTTTTAGAGTCATCTCTGAATATTTCAGATTATTCCCTTATTAGAAGCACGGATTGCAGAGGTTGAAAACTCTGTAGATAAACAACACATTTTGCAGTCTTTGCTGGAACAAGGCTGCCATTACATAATAAAAGTGGACCTTGAGACAAAAATTATCTTGATAGCAGTAAGCTAATAATTACCTTGGCGTATATGCAGCTTTCATTGAGTTTTTGTAGTGTGCAATTGCGTTCACACATAGGGCACATGATGGTTTCATTTGCCTCGCAGATCTCTTTGCTTTAGTATAAGATAGGAAAACAAAGGTTACAAACATGCAATGAGCACTCGCAAGATTTTCTGAGGCTGCACCATTTGTGGCCTCTGTTTGTTAACACCATGCCTACACCACAAAACTGATACAATAAAATAAATTAGAAGTGAATATTTGGCACAAAAAGTTTAACCCCAAGTCAGTCACTACCCTAAAATTTTGGGCCCTAGAGTTGATGCAATATCTTATTGATATTTATCTGATACTTGTGCTTGTAAATATCCCATTTTCTCCAAAAGAAATATCACAAACTGAAGAACAAAATACTGTTTACTACTTGACATGCAAATTACTGCATGTTTATCCATATGATGTAAAAGATACCAAACACTAGAAGATGGACTTCGCCAATTTCAGTCAATTATCCCAGTTTACATCAGCTGAAGGTCTGTCCCACAGTATGGTTGCATACGTACCTAGGTCAGGAGGTCACTGTCTAAAACCCCACTGACAGGCATTTCTGGCATTAGCAGTTTAAGTCTTTGCATTTTTATTATGTATGGAAGATCTTATGTTTACATCAAATAAAATAAAATAAAACAAAACAAAATATCCTATTTTGGGGGTAAAATACCTTCAAATGTCATTCTACTGCTTAAAGAGCTTAAGATTTGGGGGTTATGAAATCTCTGACTTCACTGGGATTATTCATATTGAAAACATACCACTTAAGTGCCTTGACAAAGGCAAAGTAGAAGCACCAGAAGTGCAAGCTGAATTTAAAGGCAAATTTTAACTGCAGTGAGTAAGTAGAGAAACTCAGCAATCACCTTCAGCAATGTTGACATGCCTGAAATGATCCTATGTCACACTAGGAAAGTAGTGCTATAAAGGAAATGCCAGGAAATTACTCTCTTGGTTTGTTTTAGTAAACATTATGCTTTCATTCTCCTCATAAAACCTGAATTCACAGTTCTAATACTATATGGAAGATTATGTTTATTACCAAATGAATGCACCTATTAAATCCTGTCCAACGTAACGGTACACAGAAATAAAAGATTAGTGTTGCCCAGGTGTCACATTTGTGATCTTTGCTCATACTTCACATAACATCATAACCAGTAATTCACTAAAAACATACAACATAATGCGGACTTAAGAAGTTGTTCTAAGCAACCCTGAAAGCCAGAAAGAGCAGAGCCCATTGTTTCAGAAGTGCAGAGTAACAGCTTACAGTGTGTCACAAATGAGAATTTTCTTGATAGCATTTTCATGCGAAAAAGTAAGCATGAAAAATCATATTTCAACAAAGTGATATAATGGTTTGACAGTAATGCAGACTGTTGTCACATATAAGGCCAAATTCTACTCTACTCTAAATTTAAATTCAACATTATAAATGCTGGATTCTCTGTATTCTATATCTTGAGTTAGAGTCTACGTTTGTTTTTGATAACATGGAGTTTCAGCAAATTGTACTGCCAGTGACAGGTTACGTGCTTGAGCACTACTCTGTAAATACACGCGTTGCACAAGTGTTCGTGAGAAGTGCTAAGTTAATTGTTACTGCAATTCAAATCTTCACCATAACACAGCAAAATAAACATCTTTGGATTATTCTCACAGATCTGAAATCTGACAAGAGCACACGATGTGAATATGCCTAAAGCTGTGCTGTGTTCATGCCTGGCCTTTCTGTTTGACTGACAACAGTGTGACAAATTAGACCAGTGATAATTAATGAGGTGCACAGATGCATCGAAAGCAACCTTCTTTAAAATCATCAGATTTTATATAGAGTAATCAACATGTAATAGCTTGATAACTAACTTGAGAATAAAGATGTGTTTAAACAGGAGGGGGAACGCCTGTTTACATGTGTTGGTAGTGATAGGACAAGGGGGAATGGTTTTAAGATAAGATGGGAGATTTAGGTTGGATATTAAGAGGAAGTTTTTCAATCAGAGTGGTGAGGCACTGGAACAGGTTGCCCAGAGAGGTTGTGGATGCCCCATCCCTGGAGGCATTCAAGGCCGGCTCTGGGCAGCCTGCTCTAGTGGTTGGCAACCCTGACCAGAGCAAGTGGATTGAAACTAGATGATCTTTAAATCTTTAAGTTCCTTTTCAACCCAGGCCATTCTGTGATTCTGTAATAGATATGCCACATAATTTTTATTTATTTATTTTTAAGAAAGGACTTCTAAAGGACTATTATTTAAGCCCTTCCGTATGACAGACCCATTATTCACAGTTTAACTCAAGTAGGGCAAACGGATCAAAATATTTTTAAAAGTGTATGAAACCAGATATACCTGTTAATATTTATTTTTTCTTTCTGCACGTCTGAGCCTTAAAAATGTAATCCAAATTTTCTGGAAGCTACTGTGGAGTTCCCTTCAATTCCAGACTTTTTGATTTTTGGTTACATTAATTTCACAACTGAATCCTGGAACTAGTGGTTGACACACAGTCAACCTGGGGAACCTCAGTGCCAAATCCTGGCAATGGGAGTATTACCAAGCTTTATTCCAAACTCATGCAAGAAAAACAACATCTTCCATCCCAAACTGCTTTCAATAAAACTGCCATTCTTATGTACCTCTTTTACGATAAACAAGAAAAGTGTCCCTAACTGGGAAAGGAGGGATCCTCTCCAATAAGGGGCAAAGGCAGTGTGTGAGAGGGCTACTTGCCCAGGAAAAGAAGGAAGGGTACCACCAAAGGGGATCAAATATATCCTCAGCTTCTGACTTGCTTGTGGCAGCCAGGAATGAACTACGCAGCCTGTCTTGGGGTCCTGGGTCAGAGGCGTTCAGCAGCAAGAGCTGCCCTGTGACCACCTCATACCAGCCCCTGGGCATGGTACAGAGGCAGACACCTGTAACATTTTATAAGCAAGACAAACTGCTTCTTGGATGTGACAACGTTCTTCACAACACCCTAATTATTGCTGCACAAAAACTCTGGCTGGCACCACAGTCAATATTTGATTCATGGCAGCGTAACATGTATACATGCACATGCTTATTCTTCGCTATAAAAATAAAACGTTCGTTTTCTGCCTGCCGCCACTAGAGGGGGATTCACGATAGCTACCTGCAAGCCAACCACCCCGAAAGGTGCCTGAGAAGAGCATGCTTCTACAAAAATAATTTGATCAATTGGTAAGTTCAAATTTCGTGGTAAAAGAACACATGAAAACCATTTTTTCCCCCCACAGAATTTATAGTACTGTACGTTAACACTTCTTAACATCCACTGATTCCTAATTACAGGTATTAGTAGGATGAAACCTCGGTTTCACATGAAAAAGCATTGCCCTGAATAATACTGAAGTTGGGGTAATGCAGCATTTCCAACATTGCCATAATGCCCTGGCACTAAGCCTTAATTCCGCATTGTGACTGCAATGCCTGTCCTTAGATTTTGCCAGAGTCATGTATCTGACTCAGTTTCTTCTGGATGGCTGATAAACAGAGTTGTTTGCAAAAATTTGTAGACACAGTGCTCAAAATCAAATAATATATATCAAAACTAACATGAACGTTTACATAGTAGTTTCTTTAAGTGACTGCAGACACATCAGAAGCAAGCAGCTCACATCCCCAGAATATGGTGATAACAACTTTTAGGTTGTGCGGTCTCTCTGCCTGCTTATGGATGGCTCCTGTCTCCTCTACAGGTGTGAACTTTCTGCCTTACCCTCTCTACCCTCTTCTGGGTTAAGCAAAAAAATAAAGCGAGGAACAACATCTGCTGTCACTGTCCATTAAAATTACAGAATTACAGAATGGTTAAGGTTGGAAGGGATCTCTGGCGGTCATCTGGTCCAAAGACCCTGCTCAAGCAGGAACACCTGCAGCAGGTAGGTAATGAGGTGACATGGGTGATAGAGAAAATATCTACATATGTTTTATCAGGTCATAACAGTCAACTTGAGTTAGGTAAATGTTGTTCTTGAATCTACATCTCACAGCATGTCTTTCTCATTTGGTCATAGCAATGCACTGAGCTGACACGGTTGTGTCATGACCAGTCAGAGTGAACACACGGATTCACACCTTTGTAAACAGAGATGACCTTCTGCCCAGAATTAACACATCACCAGACTACAGATGTCCTGGGACTGCCATAAGCACACGACAACGGCCTCTGCATTAACACACCCTCTATCAATATTTTGAAATTAACACTTGTTCATCTTAGCTATAATAATATCACAGAAACACAGAATCATCTAGGTTGGAAGAGACCTCCAAGTTAGGTCCAACCTCTGACCTAACACTAACCAGTCCTCCACTAAACCATATCCCTAAGCCCTACATCTAAATGTCTTTTAAAGACCTACAGGGATGGTGACTCCACCACTTCCCTGGGCAGCCCATTCCAATGCCTCACAACCCTTTTGGTAAAGAAGGTCTTCCTAACATCCAACCTAAACCTCCCCTGGCGCAACTTTAGCCCATTCCTCCTCATCCTGTTGCCAGGCATGTGGGAGAACAGACCAACCCCCACCTTGCTACAGCCTCCTTTAATGTACCTATAGAGAGCAATAAGGTAACCCCTGAGCGTTCTTTTCTCCAGGCTGAACAAGCCCAGCTCCGTCAGCTGCTCCTTGTAGGACTTGTTCTCCAGACCCCTCACCAGCTTCCTTGCCCCTCTCTGGACCCGCTTAAGCACCTCGATGTCCTTCTTGTAGCGAGGGGCCCAAAACTGAACACAGTACTCGAGGTGCGGCCTCACTAGAGCCGAGTACAGGGGGACAATCGCTTTCATAGACCTGCTGGCCACACTGTTTCTGTTACAAGGCAGGATGCTGTTGGCCTTCTTGGCCACCTGAGCACACTGCTGGCTCATATTCAGCCGACTATCAACCATCGCTCCCAGGTCCTTCTCCACCAGGCAGCTCTCCAACCACTCCTCTCCCAGCCTGTAGCTCTGCTTGGGGTTATTGTGCCCCAGGTGCAGGACCCGGCACTTGGCCTTGTTGAACTTCATGCAGTTGGCCTCAGCCCATCGGTGCAGCCTATCCAGATCCTCCTGCAGAGCCTTCCTACCCTCGAGCAGATCGACACACGCACCTAAAGTGGTGTCATCTGCAGATTTACTGAGGGTGCACTCGATCCCCTCATCTGGATCATCGATAAATATATTAAAGAGGACCAGCCCCAGTACTGAGCCCTGGGGGAGCCCAATGGTGACCGGCCTCCAACTGGACTTGACTCCATTTACCACGACTCTTTGGGCCCGGCCATCCAGCCAGTTTCTAACCCAACGAAGCGTGCACTAGTCCAAGCCATGAGCAGCCAGTTCCTTGAGGAGAATGCTGTGGGAAATGTTGACAAAAGCCTTACTGAAATCAAGGCAGACCACATACACAGCCTTTCATCACAACTCTCTGCTCTGCCTGGCCGGTATCTTCCGCGCCGGCTTGTCTTTGTGCACGTGGGGACAGACCGCTCCTGAGCCATTAAGATTTCCCTACTGAGGAGTTCCCAGCCGTCCTGGACCCCTCTGCCCTTCAGAACCACCTCCCAAGGGACTCTGCCAAACAGTGTCCTGAACAGCTCAGAGTCTGCCCTCCGGAAGCTGAAGACAGCAGTTTTACTGCTCCCCCTCCTGACTTCACCAAGAAGGGAGAACTCCACCATTTCGTGGTCGCTCTGCCCAAGCCAGCTCCCAGCCACCACATCTCCCACCAGTCCTTCTGTTTGTGAACAGAAGGTCTAACGGGGCACCCCCTGGCAAGCTCACTAACCAGCTGTGTCAGGAAACTCTCTTCCACACTCTCCAGAAACCTCCTAGCCTGCTTCCTCTAAGCTGTACTGTATTTCCAGGGTATGTCAGGGAAGTCGAAGTCCCCCATGACAAGCGCTGGTGATTACACAACTTCTGCCAGCTGTCTGTAGAACTGGCTGCAAAATGGCGGCAACGCCTGATGCTGCTGCTGGCACCCCCTATGCCTCATCAGCCTCCCTCATGAGGGCTGCCAGGTCCCAGTGACTCCTTCAGCTGCCTCGATGCCGGAAAAAAAAAAATCACTGCCCTCCTCAATTCCCTCCTCCGCTGTACAACGTGTCTGCCTTGGAGCCGATTGCCTCGGCAAGTGTATAAATAACTGCTCCCCTCCCGTTGTAGGCATCTGATGCTATACAGCGGATCACCTAACTTTCAGGCTCTTGCTTCTGGAATAGAGTCCCAAGCCCCTTGTTGGTTCCTTAGCATGACGTTGAGGCACCTCAGGATAGGATCTTAAACAATCAGCCTCCATGGAGAGCAAGTGAAAATCTGCCTGTTCTGTCTGCAGCTGCTCAACTGCATCCAAAGGGAAAGACTGGAAAATATGGAAGCTAGCCTACCTTTGTCCTTCTGAGACTCATTCCCTGAAGCCTCCTGCAAGCAAGGTAACTGTGCATAGTTTCATGGCTAATATTATTGCATTTTATTGCATTTAATGCAGTCTGAAGCTGCCAAGTCTCTTAGGAGTTTGGCGTAAAACAGACTGTCTAAAAAAAAGCCTTAATTGCAGCACTGCAGAATATAACAACTGTCAGAAAATAAAGACAATTCCATAAAGAAATGCGAAGTACTGCTGCTCAAAGGCCAAGGAACACTTCGTATGGAATCTGATTTCATTGTGCTTACTGCCTATGAATTGAAACTGCTTGGAGCAACAGCTGCAGTTGTAAAACCACTGATACCCTTCTGTCTGATGACACCTGATGTAAAAAGGGTGCTTCCTCTAGTAACAGTTCCTAAAAATACAGCCAGCACTTAACTCTAACAATCTCATCGCTATTTCTAAACTGACACTCTCAGAGCAAATCACAACAGTGATTGCAGAAATAGAATAGAAACTTGAAAAATAGGTTCATTTCATGTGGTGGCAATGTCCTTGAAGCTGTTTACACCGAGTTAAAAATTTTCTTAAATTTGACACTATTAACTTTTGTATAGGAAAAAAAAAAGCATTCACAAAATAAGTTGAAGTTTTACAGCTCTACTATACTCTGGAGGTTAAAAACAAAATGGAAGTAAAAACTGAAGCATTTCAGTTTTTTCATTTCTATTTTTTGCCCATGAGCCTTGACTAGAATGATAACCATCGCAGTACATGTGACATTAGAATCAGTATTTGTTCATTTCTCTTACAGACAGAATTGGAATCATTGCAGATGCAGTGGTAAGAGCACTTGCTGTAAATGGCATGCACCCAGCTTGATGTAAAACAGATATACAACGTGGATGCACTTGATTGAAGAACCCAGTGCTGTATTTGTTTAGTATTGTGATTACCATATCTTTAAAGCATTTAAAAGTAAAATGATTTAACCTATGCAAGACTGATAATATTCAACAGGCTATTATAATATTTTTAGATGGCATTTTACCTTACTTGGCTGGAATCCATCGTAAATAATCCATAAAGGAAAACAAAGAGCCCAACCAGGGCAGCAGGAATCAGCATTCCAGTATACCATCCCAACCAGGCAAAATACAGTCCAATTTTTTCACCAAAATATCGCCTACATGAAGAGGGAAAGCATACATTTTTTAAAGTTAAAACTTGTGGTGAACAATATCTATCTTCACAGTAGCAGAATAACTCTAATAAGCAATCACCATTGCAAACTTACAGTAAAACTATTGTCATGTTACCAAAATGTTTTAATTCGGGCTAGCACAATATTCTAGTGACACTAACTGCAGACTTACTACTAGAGCATGTATTTTGTAAGGATGTAACTGAAGCGCTCTGCAATTTTCACGTCCTTGCAATGACTAGGTAGATATATTAATTTAAGCATTGCTAAAATGCAGGAAACTTTATTTACACACACAAACACACAGATACAAACACAGTTTCTGGAAAGGAATAACATAAGCTTGTATGGCCTAATAATTCCGTTATAAAAATAATTTATGATGGATAATCATATAATATGACATATTTTGAAGTATTACCAGGTAGAAAATATTTTAGATTGAAAACACAAGCTAAAGTTTCAGCTTTAATTCTTCAAAATGTGGATATCAGTTACTATAAAAGACAAAGTAGCAGTGAAAAAAAGTAAATCCTGGATCTGGATGATCCTATTAGATTAGCACAGAATTGTTGCGTAGCACATTCTTAGCTCCACAGCCTTCAGTGGAACAACATTGGTCATAATCATTGTTTATGATTGTCACATCAGGAGTAAGAACAGACATCAAGGAAAACCGAATTACTGGTATTCTGTATCCAAGTTGAGGAAAATACGAAACCCAAACAACACAGTTACTTAACTGCAATTAACGATATTTCTCTTCTTTACAGTTGGGAACCTATGACATTAATTACACATATATAAACAGAATTTTATTTAAACCCACAAGGAAACTTCGGATCCCCAGTGGATCTGGTAACTCTGTCCATGTGGGTAACAGACTCTGCGTTCAAAAGTGCTGTCATGAGGGGCAGGTGTCTCTGATCAGCAGACCACTTCATGGGTATTTTCACCCTGTTAACTATCAAGCAGCTGGATCTATGTGCCTTTATTCAGCCTCACTTGAAATCAATAGCCTTGCACAAAAGACCATCCATAAGAAGCCATTTAGAAAATTCCGGTCTTTCCTGATCATAGAGAATAGCTAAATTTTACAGTGAAGTGTAAGGACAATGGATTTAGCAGTATGATTTGTGTGTTGTTATCGGGCTACTTGTTTCACAGTAGCAAGCTGCTTTTCGAAGTACTAATACCTGATTAAATCAAGAGGTTGGTATTTGTACCACATTCCCCACCGTGCCCAACGCTCGTATAAAAGGTGTCTGTGATTCTGAGCTCCGTGCGTTTTGATGGGATGTCTGCTTTTGTGGCTTCCCTGAAAAGCACAAATAAATAACAATATATTGCCAGACTCTATAGAATATAAATACATTTCTTAGATATTTGAATATAATTTTAAATTATGATTTCACTATGCTTATTTAATAAGTTTCAATTTGTTACGGACAACTCTAGGAGACCTCACCTACAGATAACGTGAGCCTATGAGAGAGAGATGGTAAATACACTTCTGAAATGGCCAATTTCTCTAAGAATTAATGACAAAATCATACTAGCACAAGGCTATAAAGACCTACACAACTCTATATTACTTCAAGAACAGTGCTTCTACTTCAATTTTTCAAAAATTTGCATGAGATGTGTTTGTGGTATCTTTTTGTTTTTTTCCCATAAAATTTCAGAAAATTCTTGTAGGTCAACCTGATCCTTCTCTCCTAGACATTTCCTATGACTGTGGTACATATTCCTTACGATGACGGAAACAACAGAACTGGCATTATTTTGAAGCCTGCACAGAAGTCTCAGAGGCATTAAAATCAAAACAGAATCAATCTGGCTCAAAAAGAGTCCTTGCCTGACATTTACACACCGCCTGACAGCCTGAAAGAACAGCCTCATGCGCAGCAACTGAGAAGTAACATGGATTCACTAGACCCATCCTAAACAGAATTGCTTGTATTTGCCATTTTACCCCAATTCTGAGGCAGGACATGTTTATTTGAACTTCTTCCCCCCGAAATGTCCTTTCATTAGACAACTCTCAATTATGGTAAAAAAAATTGTTCATCAAACAACTGCAAGTAATCCAAACTACTTCTTGGTAAGAGTCAGATTTGTGAACCTGATAAATTCAAGCTGTTTAGTCATTTAGATTTTTATAATTTATTTGAAATAGTGAACATTCCTCACATTGAAAGAGTGTTATTTACTTGTTGGAGTCTGCTGACCCCTCTGGTTTAAGAATGACTTAAAAACAATGTTCCGCATTAAAGTCAGCAAAGAGCCATACCAAAATGTTAGCACAGAGTGGCCTTTGCAACACTGAGAAGTTCCTAGGAACAGAATATCAGCTTATTCTCACAGTCTGAATGAATGCAATGCGTAAAGCATTAGCCAGCATGTACATTTTAGGTATTTTTTTCGTACTTCCTTCTGCATTGCTTATCTATGACAGAGTCCAAGTCTCAGTGTTCACTCTGGGACTGAATTTCTCATTTGCCTGTGTGATTAAAAAAAAAAGTGCAGGGTGTTTAACCACTATCCTTAGCACCAGTTAAGCTGCAATTAAGATGAGTGGCTTAAATATGTGACTTCATTAAGCTTATACTGAAACTCTGAAACTGAAGCTTGTGATATAACAAAGGAATATATACAGGAAATGCATATGAGAGCATGGATTTGGAAGCCAGAGAAAGCTTCACAGTTTTTTTTTTCTGTCAGTATGACTAGCTTTTTCCTACAGTCTGTAATGCCCTACTGAAGCGTTAACAATTATATTCATTTATTTACCTAAAATATTCCTTCTCTGTATTCCCTGCATTTAATTATTTATACCATATTAAAAATTACTTTCAATTTGTAAAGCATAGGCCAATCCTTTGAAACACAAGATCAAGTCACAGTATTCAGCCAATCAACCAGAGTTCACGGCTGCAATTACCAGCTACTGATCAGCATTTATCTGATCAAACCAAAGATCTGTGGCTTGCTTCTTTCCTTTCAATGCACAAAGACTCTCTGATAACCCCCTGAAGACAAAGACAAGTTTTTCATTTTTCAGTTCTTCAATAGACCTTAACCTAGTAGAATTATCAAGTAGAAACTATCCAGAACTATACAGAAAGGATTAAATAGGAAATAAGTAAACTGCTTCCCTAAATTTGATCCATTGCACAACCTATTTAAAAAACAAAACATTTTGAATGGTGTCAGGGAAAAACAATTTAACGCAACTAATTACAACAATTTCAAATAATAAACATTGCTGTTAAGAACTCCATAGGCACTATCTGCTTAGAAAAAAATATAATAGTCTAGATCGGTAAGATAATGTTCTAGGAAATGTTCCAGGATTATCACAATGCATTACATAAAAATAAATATTTTTTTTGTATTTCAAAAAGCCAACATTAAAGAGCTGTTAGTAAAAAACAAACAAACAAACACTCAACATTGCTTAGTGAAATAAAACGTTTGCAAGACAAAATAGATAACTATATCGTCAAAATATTAATGCAAGCTTTTATCAAAATATAAATACAAAACTAATGAGCTTACCTCATGTGGTGGAAATGCTGCTTCATAAGTTCCATTATTTAGTAATCTATTAATACCTAAAAGGAAAAAAACGCATTAGTTTGAATATGATTTTTAATATATATTGAACTTCACGCACCAAGAATTAATTGTCAGGTTATGAAATGAGAATGCAACTTCACATTAGATGCTCAGAATGCTGTTAAACATGACAGTCATAAATTGTTGCACTGACCGTGGGTCTTACTGATACCTTAAGCTCCCTAGCTCTGTTAAACTACAACTTTCTGAGGGCCAGTGTCTGCAACTTTGTTTTCATGGTCCGGTTCTCATGCTAGATCAAGTGTGAGAAAGTAGTTACACTCATGTTGTATTAATCAGAGCATACGATACAGATTTTATGGGTGACCAGATGATCTGGCACACACAGAGTGGCATGGACAGATGATCTTTGAGGCAGCAAAACCCCTGCAGGGTTAAAAGCTAACCTGTTACTTTTAAATATGAACCAGCTGAAGGAGTTTGTATCAGATCAATGCTCTGCTACAGCATTTTGGATCAGTTCCTAGAGTCCTCCTAAAGCCAGATTTATTTTACTATCAAAGCACGTTATAAAAAATAAGCAGTAACCATAATAATAACAATAAAAAGATTCAGTAGCCTGTGAGAGGATACCTATACAGCCAAGTTTACCCAAGAAATAAATTCTCATGACACATTTCAGATTTGCCCATTCAAACATAACATACAAATTACACTAATCTCAAGATGAAACTTGCCATCATCAATTTCAATAGCATTAGATTTCACCCTCAGTTTCTAAGATTTTCTAACTACTGCTTTTCTCCCAGAAACTCAAGTAACAACTTTCTGTAATTGCTGTTGTCTTTATAAGGCTTTAGTTGTCTATCTATATATTAAATTCTTAATTTATTTCCTGTAAACAAAACAGAAGATCATACATACATTCCCTGTTAATTGCAAATGAAAAGGAGTAACTAGACCTTTTGAAATACAGTACCGTAATAGAAGTGTCAATAAAAATTGAATTGCCCTTAAGTCAACCATCTCTAAGCTGCACTAGAGATCTCATATAATTTAAGTGCAGCTCTGATTCTGCTGGATTGGCACTGCTGGGTTCTAGCAATATCAGGGCCAGTCCTAAAAAACTCTTGTCAGTTTTCTGGGGAACGCATTATCTTTTGTAAGGCTCTTGATCATAAAAAGCTATTATAATCTCTCATATTTACTTAAAAAAAAAAAGAGTATTAAGTGAAAACTATTGCTATTTTTCACTGAGTTATTTAACAGAGTAATTGCTTGCAGCTTTCATTCAACTGTATTACTGGTTGAACTAAGATTTCAAGGGCATGGCAAAAATTAATCAAGTTTACTCCACTAAATACTATTTCAGGCAAGTAAAGGCATAAAATGGGTTAAAAAAAAAAAGATAAAGCATTCTTACCCATTTTGGATTTTCCATCTTCATACTTTGTTCTCTGTAGCATGTGATGCACGATTCTACTTCTCGTGGAGTTGCTGAAGAAGCTGTCTTTATTGTTTATTGTAAAACTAGAGAAATAATGAATGTCTTTCAATATTCAAAACAATGCACAGGTGTTGAAATATAGCTGCTCAATGTTTTCTTCTTAGAGTGATTTATTGTATCTTTATACTTCTTGTTTACTGCACAAGACATAAGATTTTGCATTCTGAAAGCATCTTCTCAGATCACCCCCCAGATTTGTCTTTATCACAGATTGTTGGGGAAAATGAGCAAATAAACCAATTCTTTTCTATTATGTCCTATTATCTAGGTCATTTCCATGCTGGATATAAATTTTAAGAAAATAATATTCAGAAGTAATGATCATTCTGAAATTCATATTACTGATAAATTGGCAGAGGCGCAAGTCAGAGAACTGCTACCATTGTTATTTAGGGAATTAAAAAACAAAACAAACAAACAAATAAAAAAAACAACAACACTTAGCTCCAGGCACTGGACACTTTAGTAGCAGCTCCACAGAAAATCCTAGGATGGAGCCAAATAACACAAATATTCTTTCCCAGATGGCTCAGGATTCTGAATGCCAGAAATCTGACATGAAGGAGCTTTTGCCTACTCAGCTGTGCCAAAGATGACACTCTTGCAATTCATAACGTCAGCTGAGCTGGTTGAGAAATAACACCGTGAACAAGTGATTGTCCCAATGCAATATAGTTAATTACTAAAAAAAAATAAAAATTAGGATGATAATGCAATTATTCTGTCCTTCTAGGGTATAGTCAGCCCACTAGCATATAGCTTCTTCACTTAAAAGAAAACAGTCTGTTTAGCCCAGCTTACATTTCTGCTTTATATGAACTTTAATTTCCTAAAGACTTATGACCAAATAATTTAAAAATAAACAAATAGCTAGAATATTCAAGACTGCTTTTGTCCTTAAAAATTTTTTTATATATATATACACATACACATAAATTCTTTCAGAGACAAATGCATTTTTCAAATGCACATTTGATAACAAAAACCCTGGCACTATTTTTAGCCCATTTCCAGGCGTTTCCACAGTTTCAACAGCTGTCTCAGGTTTTGCCTAAGTAAAATATGTAATTAAGCTAAGCAAACTTGAGCAGGTATTTGCATTTTGTAACGTAATGGAAAGCAAAACTTCTAAACCAAAAAGGTGGTGTTGATTTTTCAGTCAAATTTTTGCCCATACTACTCCCTGTGACTGTCATACAGCAAGTAACAGAGAACAGCTTTTAGTTTTAAGAGTAAATCCATAGAAAATAGCAGACATGATACTGGGTATTTGCCAGTGACCATCTGTTAATGGCTGCCTGTACGGCACTTGCTTAGTAGTGAGAAAATACAAAATCCTTCTGATCTCTGGCACTGTATTTCCAGTTCCAACACTTACTGGTGTATGCGTGCCCGGCTAAAGGGTGCTGTGTAGCAATCAGTCTCTTCAAGATCAGGCAGGGCCTCCTTATCAAGCTTCATTGGATTTCTGGGCAGCCAGCTTTTCAGCTCTCTCATATTCCTCTGCAAACTGAGATAGCAAGAAATCAAATTTACAACCTCTTACCTGCTTGCTATTTTGAACTCCATCACTGTATATTTACTGACATCATACTAGAAATTAAATGAAAGCAGGAAATTCTCCCATTAAAATAATATAAGGAGTTAAGGAGTATAATTAACAGTTGGTTTATTATTTTTTTTTCATTTTGTATTTTTCTTTATGTGATCCGATCTTGCAGAATTGACTCAAGTGCCTCTCATTCTAACATTAGTGGGATTCTGATTCTCCCTCTCTTCCCTAGCTCCCTCCTTTCCCTGGTGTTTGGACAGTAAAAATCATTAAATTTAAAGGTGAATACAAGATTTCTCACTGTCAAATTGTTCTGTTTTTCTGATCTGAATAAAGCCTTCCCCTGTTTTTTTCATCAAAATCCAAGGGCTGATATTACCTTAGGAAACCATATACTGATATATGATATACTGATATATCAAATGAAGTAAAAAGCTACACTACACACAAGTTGTTATACAGTCTTTAGAGAAACTAACAAAAAAACTCCAATAAAACCAGCAAAAACATGATATTGCTTCCTGCAGTTCCCTAAAAACTGGCATTGTAACACAAACAGAACATAATTTTTTATTCCTGATCAGATCATATACTGGTAACGTAAAGGTCTTTCTTTCACTGATGTCCTAGCTAAAAAGTATCTCAGCACAAGTTTTAGAGATGGAAAAATATGGCATAGCACAGTTCATTTTCAAGCAAATGCTAGAAGTTACCTTATTACTTCCATTTTGCACTTCTTGCTGACCTTTATTTTTCTCATATTGAACTGCTAAAAGTGTGGGTATTTAAGGAATAGGTCTCATTACAGTATGCTGTATCATCAATCATGTCTGAGATCTTGACAGAAATTGGATTTTGGAAAAACATTCCCCAAATAATAATGGTCAGTGGGATATGGGCCTTACTCAATTACCATGAATGCACGATATAAAAAGCATAGAGATCTCAGAGCCACAAAAATTGTAATGCTTAGTACGAGATTTTTATTTGAGGGAAGGAAGTAACTGCTTGTGCTAAGCAGAAGCACAGCTCCCCATTTCAAAATTAAGAGGAATAAATGATCGCAGCAAATTGCTCTCAGGCAGTAAAGCCACTTCTGTGAAAATGTTTTATTATCAATAAAAATAGCAAAAGGTGTACCCCTGTTTAACACCATGTCAGACAGAAAGCTAAACTAAATGTGGGATCATAATTTTCCATATACATTTTAAATCCTCAATATATTCTTCTTGCTATGTATTACCAAGGAGTCCATGCACACTCCATATTTAATTGGTACTGCACTTGAGGGACAGCACTCTATTGATACTAAGCAGTACGAGACAAAATACTCATGTGAACTATATTCATAAAGCTGAAACACAAAAAACAATTCCTACGCAGGTGCATCCCTTCAGTGCCTCCTTTGCTGAAATAATACCTTAATGTGCCAGTTGATTATTTTAATGGTTTCAGTAGAAATTCTTCCAGCACAAAATTATATACAATCCATGCAGGTAGTTTGCACTTGATTTTTTTTTTTTTTTTTTTTAGATTTAAAAACAGTCTTTTCTTTTAAATTGGAAAGTACATAGATACATCAGGAAGAACAGTATCCAGTGCAACTGATATCAGATTTTTGGTTATGAAATTACTTCAGAATTGGTCTTGCAAAGAACCTTGACCATGTTTCATCTCCAAAATTTAAAAAACACTAGCCGATATTTTTTATCTTAAAGAAATTAGCCCTTTAAAAAACTAAGTCTATTTCTTTCAACATGCAATATGATGAAGAGCACTACTGGAATAAACTAAAAATCATGTCTCTGTTACATATGCAACTTTTCTTAGGAGATAAGATGACTTACTAATCTGTTTTCATTACCTTACGGCTGGTCACTCCAAAACCCAGTCTCTTCAGACAGCATAGAGTACATCCACTGAAATTTACATCTTTCCTCATATAAAAACTAATTCAGCAAACAAGCCTCTCTTCTTGGCTCACATGACTCTACAGTTAATGATGACACTAAAGATTCATGGAGCTTTCATTCAAAGCAAAAACAAATTTTGGATAAATGTTTGACTGATTGTTTGAGGACTAAATATTAGCACACTTAGTCAGAATGACTTTCCAGGTCAAAACCAGCTGTTCAGAAAGATTTCTGTTCAGAAAGATCTGTTCAGTGTAGTCTATTCAGTAGGAGTGAAGGCAAACAGGTCTGGTCCGGTGAAATCACTGTTGAAGTTGGTTCATGCAATGAGATTAAAAGTGCCCTACTGGAAACACTGCTGGGAATGCATCTGAACAGTGTGCAGATACACTCTTACTGAAACTACGAGACTACAAGGTGTTATTCTGAAACATGCAAGCATTTTAGTCTCAGACGTGAAAATAAATTTTTGAAGATGCTTGTAATTTCGGCTTTGTTCAACTTTTGTGCTCAAATGTTCTGTTACATTCTGTTATGTTGGTTGTTGTTTTTGGAGAACTGTTTAGTCCAAAAATCCTTGCAGATTATGTTTCCTCAGTAGACTCCAATGCAAAGAAGCACCTCAAAGGTGAACTTGGTGCACTGAGAATTAATCTAACATGACTAGGCTCTCCGGTGTGCCTTTAGTTTCAAGGAGTCAAGGAAGCTTGATCTACAATACATCCATACTACTGTGCTATTTGCAGAACAGTGACCTTCTATCACTCCTATCTCTTCCTCACAGCCTTTCACTCTTTAACCACAATGACTTAAAGGAGCAATTACTTCTCCTTATGAAACTGCTATTGGAATTTTCTGACCAGGATTCATGGTTATAGTGGAACGAGACACCAGAACTGAGCAAATGCCATTCTTCAGAAAGACATTTTTGACAGCAATCACCAGCCATTAGCTTGCTCAGTGTTTGCCTCTTGTACTTTAACACGCAAGACAGTGGTCAAAAATTGTCAGCCACGTGCCACCAAATTGTATAGACCTTGTGGTATGCTTTGTAATGGTAAATGTGTTATGGTTGACAGTTTCAATATAGGGACACAATACTGCAATGTTTTCACCACCAAAAAAAAAAAATCTGCAGCATGTATCTTATGGAATGACATTAACAGATTTACTTCAGTGTACAAATTGAAATCAAAAAAGTTTTAAAAGTCTTTTTGCAAGGCAGGATACTGCAGCTAAATTGCTGAACAAATTCATTTCTGGTTCTCTAGCCTTACAAATATAAAATTATGTTAACATTTCACTAACAAGAATGAACCCGCATACTGTAGCAACTAACTTTTCATTTTCTTCTCCTTAATGTCATCCCTTAACCAGTGTTGGGGTGTCTGATATGGCACATATAAGACTGATTCATAAGATTATTCAGTCATAAATCTGAGGGAGTTCAGACTTTTTTTGATACATGCATTATTTACTTAAAATTATTAAAAATTAAATTATTAAATACAATTTCTGTAGACTAGCCCTATGAATAGAAATCAAGCTTCACACTATTGTATACAATTTTGCCTTTTTTTAAGGTATGCAAATAAATAAACTGGCTGTAGATAGATACCATGTAGATATCACATATGAGAAACACAGTATATCAATAAGCACTACACTTACCTTTATTCTTTTAACCATGCTCCTAATAATTTTTTGTGGACTTAAAGACACGTACAAACATATTCATCTACCATATTACCATGCCAATAAAATTCAGGGAAGTGTACATGTCACAGCAGGGCCTAATGTAGTAGTCTAAGCCCATTTTCTTAATTTTAGAAACTCAGTAGCATCAAAATTTTACCTTCGATACACAAATATTTTCATACATATTCCTCAGCCTAGCTATTGTAAACTCCACTTAGAAATATTAAAAACTATTTGATAAATTACAGAGAAGTTAGGTTTGAAAAGCCTTAGGATGCAGGGAGACGATGACAGTAGCAGAAGTTAGAACGATGAGATGGATATGTCAGCAACCTTACAGTTAGCTTGCAACTTCAGACACAGCTTCTTTTTTACACTGTTCCTCTGTGCACTGGATTGTATTAAGTGCCAGAGGAAAAAACAAACAAACAAACAACAAACAACTAGATTCCCAAATTCCAGGTATATTACAGGTAAAAACATTTGTTTTGAATGTAGAATAAATCTGGCATTAAAATTGTTTATTACTTAGTTCACTGCACAACTTCAAAAGCATGTTTCCGTCATTCTAAATAAGGAAAATAAATTGATTTCATATCTAGGACTCACCAGATGGGTTTCAGATAAATTAAGACAAAATAAAGCTCTGTTAATTTTGCCTTTTCAAAGGCAAAGCACATCACTTAAATTTTTCATAATGCATGGTAAAATGGAGCAAGCATGTGAATGACTGGGAAGAGGAAAAATGCAGTTGTAAATTTATGTAACAGGTTGTTTTATTTTAATATATTTTATTTGCTTATGCAGTTTTTTCTTACTTTGATGTTCAGCAGTGCTTTGTCTATTTTTGTTAAAACATTATCTTGCAAACTGATACCGTGAGACCATATAAATTATTCCTGGGAAATAACGAGAGTTCTTCATCATCTAAAGTAAAAATGGGAGAACTTAAATCAAATGTAATCAAGATTCATCTCAAGAAAACCAACCACAGAAAACTCTTTTGGGAGTTTTCCCTAACGTAAAAAACAATAAAAAAATCACATTTTTTCTGTTGGTAATTAGGATTTACAAAACATCATTATGCCTGACTAGAGCAAGAAGGAGCAGTTACAGCTCACAGTATCCCCCCATCCTAGCTCCTCCAGGCTCCTTTCACCGAAGCAGCAGCCTCAGGTTCAGGTGAGGTTTGTGTGCACTGGCCTTCATTTGGCAGCCCTGTCATCCTAGCCTGGCTACTCACTACTAGCTCCCTGGGCTTTAAATGCTATAGCTGGACGGTTTTCAGGAAAGAAAGCCATTTATGATAATGACAGACTGAAAGATACTTTAGAAGATAGTAACCTCATGAAATCTCAGAGTTAAAAGTCTTTCACTGCAGCAAACAAGATACTGTCAGCTATCAAATAAGAATTCAAACCAGCCTTCAGGGCGTCATCGATGCAGTTGATCAACAGGACGCACATCAGAAAAGTTACATTTATGCATTTAAGGAAATAGCTGACTACCAGAGTTTACTTAAGACATGCACTCAAAAGTATCTTCCACGCTAATGTAACATGTCTTAGTAACAGCAGACGTAACTGTAGAGATAGATACAGTATTAAATCTTTGCTGCCAGGATAAGGGCCACTTTTTTCCTGGCATAAACACTTTTGCATTTCTAAAAGGAGAACTGGCAAAGCTTTAGAGAAATGCATCTTGTTACAGATGAATATTTTAGCACTTAGAGCTAACATATTTTGAGTTTTGAGGGAAATAATCTAATTTTCCAAGTTTCCTGGATAAATTTACAACTGCAAATGGATTTTCTTTAGCAGGGTGACTATTTGACAAAATTAGAATCTACACATCACCCACCAACCTGCCCATGGTTTTGCTCCTCCAGTCAGTGTAATAACATTTTTTCCTGAAAGAACAGCAGAAATCAGCTGAGAATAATCAAGCAGGAGACAGTTGAAAAGGACATATACATCATAAAAGAACATTGGACATTTAAAAACATACATATTCATAGAAAGATGAATAAAGCACTTTAAAATATTGTGACCTCACATATTTTCAAGTTTAAAATTTGCTCCGGAGTAAAATTTACTTCTTTGCATTGTAGCTAATAACAATAACTAATCCATGATTCATTCACAAGACACCCATTAGAGAAGGATCAAATGCTGTCATGCTCATATTCATTTCATCGCATCTTTCTTAGCATTTTTTTTTTTTTTTATTCCATAGAACTAATTTTAGAAGAATTACCAGAACTCCCATGCTAATAAATGCTTTATGCACTCTGCGCATTAATACCATAAGCACTTAGCACCATTAGGTCCCAACTTCACCCTCTGGAGTGGTGTACCATCACCTTCCCTTCCCTTGGCTTTTTGCATCCAACTGAAGAACAACATGTGGCCCTACAAATCTAAGAGCACTAACTGAAACAAAACACATTTATGTTACGGTTCTTTTCTCTCCACCATTCACCGGTCACAGTAACCTCAGAGAAACAATATCAGAAATTGCCAGTGAAGTCTTCAGAGTACAGTTTGTTTGAAAACAATATAGAGACATATTTGCTGCAATGTCATACCTTCCATAATTTGTTTCAGTTTTTAATTTTCCTCTGGCCTCCTTCTACCCTTTCCCGCCACATTTCAGATAAACAAAGGCCAAGATCCTACAGATTCCTTGGGGTATCTGCATCTTTACCATGGCAATCATCGGGGAAGTTTGGCACCAGGACATTTTTACTTGCTTAATTCAAGTCATACTTTACATTTACACCTAAACCCTTTTTCCTCCTGCATGTTTTATTTTATTTTTTATTAGTAATTAAAACAAGTTTAGGTAGATACATTACTATGAGGGCTTAACCCTGTTGTCAGTTCCTATTTTCCCCTGCCCTTCATGGTAACACACACAAAAATGGCACTTCCACTCTGGATACTTAGCCAACGAAATCTCCATCAGAGGAGAACTTTACCCAGAACCAACATAGTTCACAAGATCTGCAACTGCCCATCTCAAGAGTAGCTGAGATTCATTAAGGTGCATTACTTATATTAAAATAACAAAATGAGTATAGTAAAAAGAGTGAAAAGGAAACAGAGCCTAGAAAAGAAGTGGTCATAGCAAAGTTATCTACCAGTCTGTAGGCTGTTGGCAGCCTGATATTTAGTACCACTAGGCAGAATTTTAAATGTAATAATGAAGAATTATTAAAGGATTTTGACATCAGATATTTGAAAAAACGCTTTACTCATTTCCTTTAATCACCCTTAGCTGTTTTGCACATATTGGGTCCAGCTAAGCTACAGAAACATTTTTTCTTCATTATACCCATTGATAATTTATGTTTCACAAGGACTTCCTTTAGACACTGGTACAATGAAACTTTTGTCTGGGTTTCAGAACCATATCACAGTTACATTTCTCCTGTTGGAACACATATTTAAATTTATTTAAAATCAAAGTATCATGCAGTCATAATTTAAACATTGTCCTATTTGAATGCATATAGACAGCAACGGTGATTACTGTAATCTGTTGAAATGCTAGGAAAATTTCCTTTTGTAATTGAAACACTGAGATTCCATCTTAGATTGCATATATGACGCATACTATGTATCTGCCAACACATTTAGGCATAATGCCATGCTAAAAATGAGTTCTAGGATGCTGGTTAGTCCCTTGGTCAGACAAAAAAAATTAGTTACTTTTCAGTAACAGAAATACTTCTCGTGTAATAAGAATACTGATTTTGTTTCGATTCCTAGATTGAGCATACTAAAAAGTACGAGTATAATTCAGGAGACTTCTTCTTCATGTATTATTCATACGTGGTACTGATATTTTAAGGAGTGTAGCTGAAAGCCAAAATTTTGCAACCCTGTGCAAGAGGATAAGGGTGTACTGCATTGAAGCACTGCAGGGAACATTAGCTCTCTTCTTAAATTACGCATCCAAAATAGACAGGAAGAAGCTGCTGATAAATCAGACAAAGCTGAAGAGAAATAATCTGCTCTTAGAAAGGAGCACTAGTTCATTGCAATTACAGCACAATGGTATGATTTAAGCTTCTTCTATCCACTGAAGAGAGAAAATAGTTACCTCAGGAAAAAAATATATGCCTTCCATATGCCTTGCTAACTTAAATAAGTAAGCTCAATACTTAAGTGAATGATAGTACTTTTTCCAGAACATGTAACGAAATTACAAAATGTGTGACCGTGTGATGCTGTAATGGAAGCACAAGTGGCTATTTTTACATCAGTGAAAAGGCCATCGGGGGCAAATAAAAACACGCATGAAGACAAGCTCTGTCTCAGAAAGCCTCTAAACCATAGATTTCTGGAACCAGAGGGCATCATGAAATACTTCTCTGCTTCTGTATTAAATGTCTGAGACTGGCTGCTGGCAAAGCAAGGTGGACCTTTGTTCAAATCTGCTGTGTCCACTTTGCGTTCACAATAAAACTGCCACGCTTATTGTTATTTTAGAAAGTACAGAAATGAAAGAAATAGCTTATTTGAAATATTCAAACAAGTCTGACATTGCAATCTCATTTTAATTCCTTCTTAAATCTTTTCTCAAGACACAAAAAAATGGTGATCAATTCCATACTTTTCACAGAGCTAGAGGTGGGCAGCAGGCTTCTTTCTTTCTTACCAGGTAATTGTTTCACTCTACAAACTAACAAAGTTAAGCAACAGAATTTAGCATTTTAACTACTTTTTGTGTATCTGATATGCCTAGGATAGAAGGAAGCTGAAGCATCAACCCAAAACCAAAGAAACATGGCTCAGACACTTTGGAAAAGACAGAATATATTTACCTGTCAATTGCTAACACAACAACTAAGAATGGCTTCAAAATAAAGTAGCGTTGTAAAAGTTAACCAGTATTTTCTGAAGGGCACTGCTGATCTATGGATTTAATAAAGTGAGGAAGAATTCAAACCACTGCTAAAAGCTATCATTTCTGACTTCAAGTATTAAAAGCAAGAAAGAACTCTTTGGAATAGGAATTTAGTTTGCATGCATACACATATGCAAACACTTCTATATTTAAAACATAAACAAGAATTACTCAAACAGGGAAGCTCAAAGGGAACTATAATAATATTCTTAAGCATTCAGAAGATGACTGATACTGAACACATTATTTAATGGAAAGGACTTAATGCAATGATGTGGAAACTCGGTATAAAACTGGGTATTTAAAACTAGCTTTGAGCTAAGGATGCTTCACAATGACTAAGTTTATGGCTTAGGACTAACTCAAGAGAGCCACATCGTGATAGCTCAAGTCAGCAGGGACATAAGAGGTAGAACACTTGGCAATTTAAGTGAGAAAGGAGTTCTGTAAGGGTATTTTCTGTGAGTCACACAGCTTTAGCATCCAGTTACCACTCTGACTCCCAGTGAAGTTTACAGCACACAACAAAGCTCTTCTCTCTCTGCAAAAACAGCTTTAATTAAGTTGAAAAGGAACACTTGCTCCTTCTAAAATCTGTGTTATTACAGGAGAGGTTAACTTGTCCTACACTCTTTATTGCTAATAGGTACAATAGAATTTGTTTAGCACACAGATGAGGAACTGAGGTCAAGTTATTTTTCTGGCAAAGGAACATTAAAGGACCAAGAATTTGAGAGTTCTCACTAACGTGTCAACTATTAACAATACTTTCTAACAGTCTGCGTTTGATTTGACTTGGAAGGTAAGCATGAAAACAAATACCACAGGCTAACGTGAAAAAGAACAGTACCTATTTTTTGTTTCTACTCTCCTCTTTCCTTTTCATCTCACTAAATTAAAATATAAACATGCCTGACCACAGTGCAGCGAGTGGATTGAATTTTAGACTTAAGGTAAGTAACAAAGTTGTAATATTTTAAGTACTAAATTACAAGTTCCTTATAATGGTTTCCACAATACCTGAAAGGCATCCTGATGTTCATTCTTTCTGCATATTTGCACAAAGTCTCCCATGGACAGTGAATTTTAACAAACATGATATCACTGTTTGTAACAGCTGGCTGCAAAAAGAGGTAACAAATAAACACATATTAATAATTCAAAACCACACGGCATTCAAGTTTCTAAAAGCATTCTTCAGGGGCAAATTCTGCTTTCCTGCATGAAGCTGCTGCACAGATCTGAAAATACTTTAAGTGCTCTGACCCGAACAAAGGAAAATTGATAAAAATCCCTCCACAAATCTTGTAATACGAATAACCTAGAAACTGTCAAAAAGGAACCCATAGGACAGATCTTTGCTTATAAACACAACAGAAGTAGGGAAAGGCTTTATGCAGCATTTTGACACGGAATAAATAAACATCCCCTCAAAAATCATTTTTGATGAGCCATTTCATGACCATTTAATGTGTGTCCCATTCAAGAAGAATGTAAGAGCCACAAGAACAGCTGAGAGAAGTCTGCAGGTCCCACTTGGCCTAAATGGAAAATCCAGGAACAGTGAAGTAACTGTGATGCCTTCTATCAACTTATAAATGTCATCTCTGTAAGAACTGAGAACTTCCATAAAATTACAAGTAATATTCTATGCAAATGTTTTATGTAATGTATTTATATAAACACAAAACAAGAATTTCAGCATTACAATTTCTTAAATTTTTCTTTCTTAATCAATATTTCAATTTTAATCTCCTCTCCCAGCTATATTTCCTTAAGTGTTTGGACAGCGCTCTCAGACCCATGATCTGATTTTTTGGGTGGTACTTTGGGGACCCAGGAGCTTGACTCAGTGATCCTTGTGGGTCCCTTCCCACTCAGGATACTCTATGATTCTATGCATTTTTATATGTAAATATTTTGGTAGAGGTGAGTCTGATTAAAGCCACCCAAAAACTTAAGTAACACATGGTTTGGTAAGTAAAGATAAAAGAAAATTCAACTGAAGAGTTAATACAATTTTAAATGTTCAAAATTATGCTTATTAGTGACATAATGTCATGTCATAGTTCTAAAATATTGCTTCTAGGGTTTAATTTTTTTGCAAAAGATGTGGAAAAATAATATTGTAAAAATTTAAATAACCTGATATGTAAAATTACTATCTCATAAAGGCATATTTTGTCTGAAAGGTCAGTGCTTGTGAATTGATTCCAGCTGGCATTGTTCTAATTTCAGTAAACATCCCAATATTTATTTATTTTTTTTTTCTATTAGACTCCAATCATTTTTTAAAACCTTAAAAATAAATTTAACAATACCATCAGGTCAGTTATTTATGAATATTTAACACGCTTTATTGTCAGCCAGTACTTGCAAGGACTTCCAACAGTTAAAACCTCATTACTTCAATACAGAACATGCAAGGTAATTCTGCTGAGCTGAAGAGCAGAATAAAACGGGATAAAAGACACGTGAAGTATAGGAGCTTATTTCAGGATAGAGCAAATACACGTCTGCTTTTTAAGTAATTCATGAAACAGCAGAATTCCAAGGCTGTTTTCCTGACTTTGTTTTCCTTCATTTTTATATTAATTCTTTCATTACCGATATCCCAACCACAACAGCAACAACTTAACGCTTTGAAATGTTTTTTCACATTTCACAGTAGGGAAATGAAAATTCCTGAATATCCACACCGAAGTGCAACACAGAGCAGCACTCAAACTAAGACACAGAAAGAATGAAAAAAGAAAATGGAAGCCGACACAAATAGCAAAACAAAATAACATAATTCTCTGACAAAGCAGAGAACATTCATTTGAAGTTTGACTGTGAGCACACAAAACCAAATGTTAATCTCTGTAATATCAGCAAATGTATTAGGAGCCTAATGATACATTAACTTGGAATTTGGGGAAAATAAATTGTTATAGATCAGAATTAAGATGACAAAATTCTTCCCTTATAGCAACAACAACAAAAAAATTATTTCCCTACTAATACCTGAAGTTCTTAGTCTTTAGGAGTTTCATCATTTAAAGAAAAAGGGGGATAGTATTGAAACTGGGCACAAAATAGGTTTTTTCTTCTTAATACAATCAGAATAACAGGCTATTTATTTATTATTATTATTCTATTTGTTTTTAAGTGTATTCTGGAAAATTTAGAAGCCTGGACAGTAGCACTTAAATTGAAACTATTCTAGCTCAAAGAGCACAATGCAGATTAGGACACACAAACGAGGGATGGATTAGTTTGACATCTTTAGCCCTTTAAAAATACAGAGAGATTTAATACCATGCATCCTGCTGAAAGACAGAGGTTATATATTAAAGTAACAATATGGGTTACTGAAGCTTCTTCTGTTTTGTAGGTGTCAGGAACTGGAAGTTTCCCTCAATACTGCACTAAACCTGCTCCTATTTAAAACTGATTCTATTCTGGGTGGGTGCATGTGCACATATGCATATAAACATGCAGGAGCAGGTTAACATGTTAAACATGCTATCAAACAACTGTTAGTATAATAGCATTAAACAGAGGGACCAGCCTGACCACAAAGACTTGTAAGACACCAGGAATTTTATACATTCAATCAAGTAAGACAGTATTTTAAATACTTAATAATGCATCTAAATAAATAGCTTTATACCACATAAGCTACAAAACTCACCTCTCGTTCTAACATCAGCCCTTCTGCTCTCAAATTCTTCTCAAACGTGCTTCTTTTCTCTACCTGCAGACTTGACTTTTTGTAGACCAAGATATAATCAATGCGCTTTTTTCCATCTTTGAAGAAGAGACCTGACGACGCCATGGCATCGGTCTGGATAAGATAAAAATATGGTAGACACGTCATTCATAAAGATGAACAGAACCGTCATGAATTCCCTGCAACACAGCACTTCCTAAAGCATGGAAATGTCCACATAACTACAAGATGACTATATAAAGAACAAGTCACAAGAACAGACAGCTATTATGCATTGTTAGTCCAGGATTTCCAACCAATTAGAATAAAACAAACTAAAATGACTCCATAACAATCATAATCTAGCCATTACCTTCAACTTTGCACCCCCCAAAAAACATTTACTGTATAGTATGCATAGATGTGAGCTCCTGTTAATACTTACTTTCCAGTTGGAATTAATAAAATTTAAAGGCAAATAAATTAAACCAAGTTTCAACAAATTAGAAGAGAAACACGATTGATGTGAATGTTTTCTTGGATATTGCAGTTGAAGTTCTTTTTAATGCCATGTTAGCAATGCTTAAATCTCGTCTAGTTCCTTCCCACCATGCTTGTAAACACAAGGGATTCTCTGACCTCGATATGGAAAACCCTGCTTTACATGTTGCTGCTCAAAGCTATTTTTACATTGTTTTTGCATGAATCAGAATAGACAGTGACTATATCAACTGGTGTCATTCTATGAAGAGTTTGAAATTTGAAAAAGTAAACTGAGAAATAGTTGTTGAGTTCTGGAGAATGCAAACTCATTTTAACAAAAACCGTCCAGAACACAATGGTAGTTTTAAGAAAGATGTGTCACACACACGTGCACGACCAGACATCTATCCATAGCGCATTATCTTTTAGCAAATAGGATGTTAGTCACAAAAATTCACTGTATTTGGATTGTTTGATATGAAATTAATAAAACTCGGAGTTATATCCAACGATAACATGCTGCTTTGATAAACAGAACCATATGCTAGTGTGTGATATCAGCAGTACAAATACTGGATACCAGCTTTTTTGTTTCTGATTTTTTTTTCTATACTCCCACATACCTCACAGCTAACTTTACAAATTTAGTGTTTCTGAAAATCTCTGTCTGCAAAATCTGAAATTTTTGAAGAAGATTTTTTTTTCCCCCTCCCAAAGACAAAACCAAAGAAATATCCTTCTCAGACCACCCGTCATTACAAAATTGCATTATCACACCTCTGGGATCATTATTTAAATACATTAAGCTTCAGTTTAAGTACAATTAAACTTCTTTTTCTCCTCAGCAGCTGGTGATGGCATCATCTTTCTTTTCCAGATGCTTTTATGGTTTGTTTTGAAAAGTTATCATCTGTTACCTTCTCTAAGCATACCTGCTTATGTATTTTATTAATGTAAAAACAAAATGAGATTTAGAAGCCCAAACTTTGTCCAACTTGCCTGAAGCTTTGCTGTCACTAATTCTTTTAATATAAAAAAATAAACAAAAATACAAGCAAAAACACATAAAAAAAGGAGGAAAGGTTTTTATCCTCCCACCCCTTTTTATAACCATTCTATAGACATCTGACATGATAAAACATTGATATCTTATTTAGAAAAGTGCAAACTTCAAAGTAAATTGGAAGATGTTTTAAAACTTACACTACAATTTGCATTTGAAATTATGACTGGAGTAGCACAATCCTTGTACACAGGCCCACTCATTCTCATCTCTTACTCTTTCTATTTAAAAAAAGAAATGCCAAAAATAACATGACATCATCTGTAATGCAGAAATCCTGTTTCTATACCATTCTGCCCCTGGAAGACAAAATTCAACGATAAAGCAGGGTTGTTGGATTTTCCTAGTTTTGCCCAGCTTTCTGGGCTTTTACAGTCTGAATTTGTCGTATTCTCTGGCCTGCTCTTTACTGGCATCACTGACAGGTCTAACTACACATTGTCTTAATGACACCCATCTTTTTAATGACTCAGACCAATCACATGGCCTCACTCTGTTGTCTTCAACTTGCTCCTATATTCTTCAAAGGGTACCAGCATTAGTGCCAAAAGTGCTCATTGTTACATTTTCCTTGCTGCTTGCAAATAATCTCTCATTACTCCTTCTACCTGTTACATCCTCCATCTACCACTCCTCTTTGCAATGACTTGACCGCTTTGAAAAGCGTACAAAGTATGCTTCTTTGGGATAGAAGTTGCTCTTCAGCAATGAAGTGTAAGTAAATCACAAAAGCAGACTAGAATCGGCTTTTTTTGGTCTGCGAATGAAGCAAAATCACATACGAAAAGTCTGCTCAAAATTTCCCCACGGGGGAGACCTGGAATATTTCTTACAGTTTCTGCTGATGCAGTTTCTGTACAGACATTCTGCAAATTCAATTTAACTTCTTTTGTAAGACCCTTCTACTTTTCTTTCAGATGATAATTTTTAGCCTTTTTTTTTCCCCCCTCAGTTCTGAAACACATGCTTTTCTTCTGTCTTGAAAAAAAAAAAAAACAAACCACTCACATTACTGCAAGGACAAAGTTAATTAAGAACTATTGTTTCATTCTGCAGATCAACATCAGCATGCAAATATGCCCTCGGGTTCATCTGCACTGAACAGAAATCTTTGGGGGCAGCATTCGATAAATAATGATCTGCACTGTCAGTAGAAAGAAATTTTCCATCAGTTCATCTCAAACCGCTTTCACAGGATCTTGTTCTTACAGATGCACAGATGAAATGTGCAATAGCGCAGCCATTTATCACAATCGTGCAGTGAACCCAAACTACATTGATTTCAGGATTTCAGTGCTACTTCAGTGCACTTGGGTAGTTGCACGTCAGTGTAATTCTTGAGCAACACTCTCCACCTATGCTAGGAGGAATACCTGTGTCAGTAAAATAATTGATCTGGTGAATAGATGCTTCTTGGGTTGATCTGCAGGAGCTCCATAGTGTGTAAGGAGAATAGGGAGCAGTAATTTCAATTAAATGTACCAGTCAAAGTATATTATCCACTAACTACACCTAGTGCAGTGAATCAGTCTTTTGGTATAATGGGCAATAGCACAATTATTATTTAACTGTTGGTTTAGGCCAATAGTTCTGAGATTCATTCTTTTACCCTTTACTAAGCACAGTGGAAAAGAAAAGCATTGAAAGAAATATTTTGTACAAAGTCCTTACCCACCTCATTTGTTTTCAAGATTTTCACCTAGAAAGTTTATTTGAAAACAAACAGACCAATGTTCATATTTCTCTCTAATCGTCTTCCATCTTAGTTTTCCAGAAACAGTATCCACCTGCTTTTTTAATTAATATTCCTTTTGGTACCTTGCCATACAGTTCATCTTGCAAGCTCAAAGTTTTACCTTCACCTTGTTCTTCAAAAATCTTTAAACTTGAGAACTTTAAAGAATATCTAGGCTGTGAAGCATTTCCTCACAAAACTGTAAACTTGTTTATAAGACAGAGGTTTGCACCAGCGTGAAATATTAACTGAGGCTTATCCACTACAGATATTCCATAATTCTTTGGTTTTCTTCATTATTTGCCTTTTTTTCTCTTTTTTCTTTCTTTTTTTTTTTTCTTTTTTTTAAATATTGTTTCAATCTTTATTACACACAGCATGACATATTGCTTTGAAGTCCAGAAATGTACAATTCAAAAATACTGACCTCATTCAATGAATTTCACCATTTAAATGAGGCAGGAAACAAGTTGATTGATTTAACATAGAAAAAAAGCATCTTTCTGTCACCAAAAAAAAAAAAAGTCAAACAAAATACAACGTAAATATTTGTCAAAGTTATGAAATAAAGAGAGTTTGCGTTTCCATCCAAATCTGGTACAAGTAGAATTTCCTTGGATTTAGCCAACATGATGGGATTTTTCAAGACACTATTTTTCAGGTTATAATTAATAAGCAAAGGCATCCTTACAGACAGGGAATAGCTGTTTTACAGGCTCTTTCACTCCCCAATTAATTTAAATAGCACCACTTACAGCAATTAAAAATATTTCAATTCCACTGATTTCAGTATACCATTCTGCTCTGTAGATTAAACTTCTGCCAACTTTTCACCTGATACATAGCAACAAATATTCTAGAACAGCAAGATGGAAGCCTTCCAAAAACAGGAAGCAAAATTACAGAAGCATTTAAGAGCAAATGACATGGTATGGTAGGCTTCAGGTTCGGTGTATTTCATTAACAGGAAAACCACTAACAAATTTTTAAAATGACTGAAAATTATGCTGCATTGTAATATATTGGTACACTGTCTTTTTTCTCCACTTGACTTGTTCAAATTTTTACAACTTGAGCTGTGCAGCAGCAAAACCACAATGTCTGAAGTACGTTCAAACCATTATGAAGTGTTATCTCTAATCTGGTTACAAATAAAAGTTACAGAAAGAAACCTGTCTAGGGGAGAGCATGTACTAGGAAAAGTGATATTTCCTTCTATTTCTACCCCGATATTCAGCTAATTTTAGCTTCTCTTTCTATGTATCTGGTAATATCCTATGGAATTTATCTTACATAACATTGTCCAGCTACCCCTGAATCCATGTAATCATACAGTTTCCAGAGCGCCTTTCAAAGGATTTCCACAGGTCACTTCTGGGAGAGCCTTCTTGTTTTCTTTGTTCTGAACCTGGGTGAAAATAACTTAAATTACTGCTTCATGGCCATAATCCTACAAATATATGTGGTTTCTTAAAACATGTAGTGTTTTATCATTACTGTGTAGTGGGTTTATGTGGCAAGGTTTGGGCAGCAGAGGGCCATAAGGGTGGCTTCTGTGAGAAGAATCTAGAAGCTGCCCCATGTTAGGTAAGGGCCCCGCTACTGACCAGAGACAAGCCAATAAGTGATGTTGTTTGTGCCTCTGTGAGAGCATATTTAAGAAAAGGAAAGGAAAACAAACAAACAACAACAACAAAAAAAAACACTGCCTCACAAACAGCCTTGCAGGTACCAAGTGAAGAAGGAGCGGGAGAAGTGCTCCAGGCTCTGGAGCAGAAGTCCCCTGTGGCGAGGAGCATGGTGAAGCAGGCTGTACACCTGCAGCCCATGGAGCACCACGGTGGAGCACGGTTC